AACTTATTTTGTAATAAGCTATAGATTAGACCAAATGGTGGTTGAGCCCTTTCTTGTAGATCAATTAAACAATCCTAAGGTAGATGCTCTCAAAGAATATTTATATTTTTTTTTAAATATCCTAAAATAGGTAATAGGTCTAATGAGAGAAAATGCCCTTTATTAGATATTGTACATGATTTCAACCACATGATTTCTATTATAGTTAGAAAAACTTGTTTTTTGATACATTTTCTTCTTTGGCAATCGTATTCTTCATTTTGTGATTGTGACGCTTCTTTGCACAATATTCAGTAGTGTACTTAGCTTCTTTACAATATAAACATAAATCCTCTTAATAATAAATCTTTGATATTATCCTTCAATTCATATCAAAAATGATTAATAAGGACTTTTCATTCCAATCCACATTGCAAGTAAGGTTTTAGAATTCAACAAAATATATAGTAGCTAATCATGATCTTTATCATAAAAATAAGAACTTGATCTTTGTTATTCTTTCCCAATCACTATTTTTGAATGTAGCCATAAACGCTTTTAAGAATGAATTCAAATTATAAAGGAATTGTGAATCTTTTTTTTTTTATTAACAATGTAAATCAAAAGAAAGTACTTCCAAATAGAAATGCACTTATGAATCCAACTTTAGTAATCCCTAAAGGTATTTGAAGGGATGCAACTTTAAATAGAGCTTGACTTGTTGTAGAAATCTTCAAAATTTTGATCTTTTTCTATCAAAGATACCAACATGTGATTAACTTGTTGACCAATTTTCTAATCTATTAATTAACTATAAATACATATAAAGTTAAAGTAGCATATATGAAGTTTATATTTAATACTTTGTAAGTTAAAGTATGTACTGTATTTTTAATAGTAGTATCTTTATCTTATATTGAAGTTAAAATAAAAAGCTTTACCACAAAATTAATATCCACAAGTTCAAATGATAAAAGCAATCATATATGAATATTAGAATCTCTAGATTGTTCAAATAACTACACAATTTTTTTAGTACTTCACTTATTATAGGTGTTGTATTTTTAGCTATTGTTTGGTTACATATAGCAGTTGCAATCATCATTTGTCTTTATGTATCAAATATATAATCTTTTAGAAAAAAATAATTTCTTCTACCTCTAAAAGTTATATGAAATCAAGTAACTTGGTTTAATGAGGCTACTCTATTGAATCTCTTTCTAACTCTACAATTTTAGCTTCTAATTTTTTTTTTATCCAAAGCATGTCATTTGTATAGATGTAATATGAAGCAATTATCTACATTGTGATTAAACTTATAATAATGAGTATACTTCAATTGTTCTTTCTTAAATTTATTTCATACTTTGGTCATATCAGCTTTTGCTTAGACTTCTCCATGTGTAAGGTTTTTTTTTTTCTTGAGATAGTTGGAATTATTCTTTGTGTGACTAAATTCACCACACCTCCAATGCATAGTCTATTCATGTTGAATTTCTATCAAGCTACTTGTGGAAGTTGCAAGCTTCTTAGATTTAAATATACTTATCTTTTAAGCTACCATGTCAATAGCATCATGTTGACAAAGTATCTTATCGTATTTTTTATTTTCACCAAATGCTTGTGCTAATATTGCCTTATTGTCATAGTTGAGAATAATTTTTGGTATAGCTAAATCCAAGAGTCTCTTATCAATCTTAGATAAGAAAATCTTAACAAGTCGGCTTTTAACAAACACACCTCCTAATTTTACTACTAACCGAGTCAAATGAGTGAACATAGTATATAGATTTTTTTTTTTTTTTTTTTTTTTTTATGAAAATAGTCTTAAATATATTACAATAGTGTTTTTTCTTTGTTGAATTGTTAAATTACTTCATAAATTGATTAGTGTGTAGACTTCTAAGTTTAAATTGCTTTCACCAATTTGTGCTTCAACCTAATGGCTAGATATTGAAAGATTGCAAAAACCCTCAGTGACCTTAAATTTCAATTTTCTAAGACTATAACCTACAAAAACTCTCATAATTGATAATCTAATTGATTGATTAACATCAAATTTTATACCCATATTTTTAAAAAATTCAATTACAAAATAAAATAAAAAAATCATCTATAAATATGCTATAATATATAAAATCATCAAATTTTTGAACTTCTTTTTATTTTTTAAAATACAGAACCATTGAATATATCTCAAACTTTAAAAAGCTCTCAAAACCTCAATATGACTTTAAATCGCATGAAATAAACTCTCAAAAATCCTCTCACAAGTTTATTCTCAAATCTCATTCTCCAATCAACCAAAGAATTGCAGAGTTGCTGTAGGTACACGACTTTGTGCCTTAGGATTTGATTTCAACTTTGATTCACAATTGGTCCTCTTTGAGTATTAATTCTTCATATTTTGAGGTGATTTTTGTTAAAATCTATTCTTAATTCCTTCTTAAAAATGCTTATATCAGTTATTTATCTAATTTATTTTTATTAGATTCACTTATGCCCTTACAAAGTAAATAGAAGTCTTTTCTTTAAGAAGACAATATTAGCATTTATTAATTTTTACTATCTCTTTGTCTATTATTTATATTTCTAAGATAATTTGCTAAAGTATTTCCATTTAAGCTCCTCAATAATATAATCTTTTCTTTCTTCTTTCACCATATAGTCATGTTACTCCATGACATTGTAAATAATTAAAAGAAAAGAAATACAAACAAACGGGTACAACTATATTTGCAACTTGAAAGGTTTGTCTACAACAAGCAAGATTCAAGTGATTATATTTATGAAACTATTTTCATCATATAAGTGTGTGTGTATAGAAATACATACATATATATATATATATATATTTATATATGGAATCATATCCATGTCTGATTGTTAACAAGGGCGAGGATGAGGCAATGGAGCTCCATAAGAGCAATGGCATGGGATGGAGGGTAGCAGTGCCAGCATGGGCATTGGAGATTGACTGCATGTGAGACCACATGTGAGTCTGGCATTAGAGGTAGGAATTCCAGGTGTCCTTTCGACATAGCAAACCACAATAAGCCTCTAAAGATGGGGTAGGCATAAGAGAGAGAGATGGATGAGTGTGTTGCAGAGTCCTTCATAAAATAAATGAGGGGTGAATAAACATGTCCCTTCCTCCACCATCTTTTTTCTTTTCTCATTCAGGTGGTAGTGGTGTTAGGTTGTGCTGTTGCTATTGATGTTGCTGGATGTGGGTGTCCTGTCACCGTGCCATTCTGGTTGGATATTTCTGTTCCTTTTAGGCACTTTTGGAGGGCCCACGAATCCAATCCCCTAAACTTTGGAATCCCCTCTTAATTTATCATTCTGCCATACATTAACACTTTTATTCTAATTCTCATGATTTGTATTATGTGTTAAAGTATTTATCTGTCCAGATATAGAACAGAGAGATAATAGAAAGCGAGGAAGTTAATCTTTGTTTAGGCGTTCATTGCATTGTGATTTTGAAATCAATTAATTTTTTTAAAAGTACATATTTAATGGTATTATTCTTTATTGTGGATTCGAGCAATACTTGGATTTTAACTTGTGTTTGACCTAACAGTAACTAGCACCCTCGTCTTAAATGTGAACACTATTTTGGACTTTGTCAGGATGAGGCTTATCTTTTTGCCTTTATTAGTCTTTAGCGACAGGTACATTATGTTGTGGTTCTCTGTTTTAGGAATTTTATGATTTATGTCCGCTTCATATTATATCTATTAAAATAATAAGCCGAGGAATAAACTCCATGTAAATACCCATCCAAGGGAATAATCCAATTCTACACATTATTTTACTTCACAATCAGAATGGAGTTTTGACCGAAAGACAACCCAGAAAAAAAAAAATATATATATATATATATATATATATATATAGAGATAATTAAAATAATTAAATAACAATGGAAAGAAATGCAACAATGGTGGAGGCAGAACCAAACTGGAATAGCTCGGCCTCATTAATAGTGGTGCAAACTATTGCAAGCATGGGTGGGGACCTTTTGTTAGCGTGTTTCATGCACAGCGAGAGCGAGGATGATTGGTTAGAGCTTCAGTGGATGGGGGACCAGACTGGCAGATGAAAGTGAGAGACTAGATCAGTGGAGCTTTTGAAACCACGACAACTGGAAAGCAAACAGCTTTGGAGACAGTGACATCAGCAGCCCACTTGGATTGCAACAGGTGATGTCATTGTTCTCATCAGAATTATTTTATACCCATGACACACACTTCTCACCCTCCCCAACCCATCCTCATAATGAACCCGAACTATCAAGCCAAAAAAATAAAAATAGAAAAACAAAAACATAATTAGACCCAACAAAGCACTCTACATTCAACTCCCTCATAACTACACATATTTTAAATTTCTTCTTCTTCCTCTTCCACTGATTGCATTCTGTCGCTTTTGAGCAAAAGATTATGTACACTCAATAGAAGTAAGTAATGTATTCAATAAACCCATACATTACTTACTTCTTCCTACATTTTTAACTTGCTCTTGCAACTATTTATACCCTGTTGACTTTGCACCCTCCTCGAAAACGAAGGCTAAATATATACATTTTAAGAATTTTAAATTGCTTTTTGCAGTTGACTCCCTATGTCATCCCTGTTCATCTCAGTCTCTCTTTCTTGTTTACACAACCCAACCAATCATATCCTTTCTACCCATCTAAATATAAACATATACTTGTATTACATAAAATATATATTTTTGTATGTATGTAATGATGCGCTTTTTATATTGAAAAAGGGCATCTTTGGTAAGTGAATGAAAATTTGTAACTGCATCTGTCCAATGCTGTGGATTTCCACGTGTCAAGTTCGGAGAAAAGCAGCACGGCTGTGGAGGAACAGGGTGCCAGGAATGAGTGAGGGGTGGGTTGGGTATGAGCCCCTACCACCGCGCCTTAAACGCGAGGTACACTAGGTGCCCAGTTTTCCTCGTCAAATTCTCAAATAAAGTACTGAGCTGCTGGAGACCGCCATTTATCGCCGACTGCCTTATTATAATATTATTAATGCCGACGTTGTGCTCTCTCTTGCTTTGGCTGTTTGCGAGCGCGAGGCCGCGGCTCTCACAGCGCGCAACGACAACCTCGAAACCTATCAAGCAACCTGCAGCTCAGAAGTTGGGACCACGGCCGAGATTACAGCCACCTCGGAGGAGGATTAGTAGCGGTATGAATGGCATGTCATACTTGCTTTTGTGACATGCTCATGTTCTTCGTCATGCGACGACCTTTTCCTACTACGGTGCAGCATCGACACACACGTCCTGTGACTAAGTGTAGGTAAGTCAACAAGTTTTGAAGAGGGCCCCTGGTACCTTCTCATGCGGACATCCGGAAGGAATTAGAAGCTCGTGGATGTTCTTCAAGAAGGAACTGGTAAATGCTTTGTAACTTGACCATCTCAATCGGTCGTGAACGGGTTTTTAGGAACGAACTGGAATCCGCAATAAATTACCAACAGACTGTTGCAGTAGTATTATATTCTTGCACTTGATATTGTCCATCTTGTGTATTGCTCGAAAGAAGCGGTTAGTGCAGTTGCGGTTGCATTTTAAGTTGAGAGAGGTTACCAACTCGGGTTCTGGGCGGAAGTGTGTTGAGTTGAAATGTGTGAGTACTGGATGTAGACCGTGCAGTTCAAAATGGGTTTCATCAAATAAAGTGCTTGCACAGGGATGGGCTCAGCGAGTGAAGCTCTTATGGCAGTTCTGTCAAGTGATCATGACTACTCGTCTGTGGCACCAGTTATGACTCCTTCCAATTCTTCATGCACAGGATCCAGCGACCTGTTTTCACCACCTCCAGTCTCAAGTTGGTTGCAAGGGAGCCTTCCTGGTTCTGAGCAGCGGCTAGGCTCATCCCAGCGTTCGAAGTTCCGTGGGTCGCCTTTGGACACGCTACCTGCCCCAATGCCAGAATGGCCATATCCGAGAGACGAGAAGGTGCTTGTGAACGCATTACAAGGGCCCTGTCGGGCCACGAATTTCAGGTCCAACATGACCGCTCCTCACGACCTGAACCGCCCTCGACATGGGGGTCTGCAACGGTATCATTCTGCCCCCAGCAGTTTCTTGCAATGCTTGGACGATCTCATGAACGAGCCCGATGTCTTTCCTCAAGCCTCGAGTTCACTGGTCGACAGTGATGTTCTTCTCGATTGGGCAGACGACCTAACGCCCATCACAGAGCGTGGCTCTCAGCAGATGGACACGGAGAAATCCTACCCGAGGTCTGGCTTTAATGATTGTGAGCAGTTTCTTTCCAGTCTCACCAATTTCTCCTCCATCACCCCATCACCTCAGTCTCAAAATGTGGAGCCAACAGGGTCTCTGGCACGCCAAGATGGCCTTGGAGGATTTGACTTACCAGGTTAGTCTTTGCCCCTTCCTTTCCTTTCCGTGGCAGCCAATGTTTTGTTCTTCCACCTAATCGCTCACATCGTAGCAAGCTGTACCAGGAAAGTAGATGGGACAACCGCTCAGTCGGGGAGTTGGTGTCAAGTTCTGAAGTGGGCATGACTTGCACTTCCAGATTCATTAGGTGTTCTCTAGTTGAGACCTGATCACCTGCGGACTTTTTGGCAGCCATTCAGGATAGCATCGAAGAGAATAGTGTTGCAATCTATCAGATGCCAGGCTTTCTGTTCGCAGATGGGAGTATGTCATGCACAAGTTCTGAGAAGATTGGTGCTGCTAACAGCACTATATCTTCCGCGTACATACCAGAGGATTCTACTCATCTGGTCAAAGAACCTGCGGTTTGCGGAGGCCTCTGGAATTGCACCACTAGTTCAGGTGGTCAGCCGTTTTACTGTAATCTCAAGTTTGCCAACCTTAAATTCCCTTTGATGTTGTGCGAGTCACAAGCTTAAGTGTTGTGTGAATTCCACATTCATCATAAACACTAATGGTCCGGCCTATTAAATTTCTCTGCAGGGAGTGTCGGTAGTAGCAGCCTTCGTGGTGTGGAAGTGACAATGGAACCACCGCTGGGTTGGCATGGAGTCAGCTCCCTCGGTGGTGCAGTCACAGTTGGAGAGCCGGCGCCAAGGTTGGAGGGCTTGATTCGACACTCGAGTCTGCCTGCGACAAGCCGCCCATTTAGCAGCACCTTTGAATTGGACGACCTACAAGCCGACCCCTCGATGGTGTATCTGAAGACCCTAAGAGCAAATCGTGGGCATGCCACTCATCCCCGCAGCATCGCGGAGCGAGTGCGACGGGGCAAAATCAGTGAGCGAATGAAGAAGCTGCAGGAGCTGGTACCCAACTCGGACAGGCAAACTAACACAGCCGACATGCTCGATGACGCTGTAGAGTATGTGAAACAGCTGCAGCTGCAGGTGCAAGAGCTAACCAACACCGTAGCTGAATTGCAGCTATTGCAGGAAAGGTTGGGGCATCCTACCTCTTAACAAATCGTGTAAAAATCTAGCTCATTTGATGCAGGATCTCCCTGAATTTTTTAACAAATTTTCTTTCCTGTATCATAGTTACCTGAAACGCGTGTCATGGAAAGAATACCACCTTACAGAAGGGCCATCTAAGAAAGCAGCTGTTTAACAGCTGGGCCGGCGTTTTTTTCGTCCTCACCTTAGATACAGTAGCGTGTAGAAGGGTACTCTATAGGGGGCTAGAAGAGGTGGTAGCGTTGTGTCTTTCGCTGCTACTGCTGCTGCTATTGCTCACCAATAGTGTGTCCGCTGTCCATCACAATCGCCTAGTGACCCACATGACCTGACGTGGTATTGGGTATGACCTGGGTCTGGCTTAGTGTGGTGAGTTGCTGTTTCGGTGCAGTGACCATGTTTCGTTCATGGGGGGATAATGCTTGATGAGATTTTTTGCAATATCATGCGCTTTGATGGGGTCACGTTTTGAAGGGCAGTGCACTATGCTTCTCACTTGGTGCACATGCACATCCCTCACCACCATGCCTTTTTATAACCCCCCTAAGCACACAGAACAGCTCAGTCCTGCACAGAATTAGGTGTCACCAAACGATGCGAACGAATCCTGTATTGCTCACTATCTGAACTTAGAATCTTCTACACGGCTTTTGACAATGATTCGATTCTGTAATTGTTATTAAATATTAAATATATCTATTTATGTTTCTGTTGTACTTATTCTTTGAAGCTGACGTCTATTCGTCGTTTCTTACCGTTCATCCAATCTCTTAAAAAAACGTTATAATATTCTAGAAAAACTTTGTTAATACAAACGGAATAAAACTTCTTTAAGATAGTTGTATCATTGAGAAAGACCAGAATGGAAAAGAAAACGTATTACAAATGATTTATATAATCCTTGAAATGAAACAATAGGCAGTAGGTTTTTTTTTTTTTTTTTTTTTTTTTTTTTTTTTTATGTATAAATTATTTTGATTTAATAAATAATGATTTAATTAAATTAAGCTTATTATTTATCTCTTGATTATCAAAAGTTTTGATTGTATTATAGAAAAAATTAAGATTATAAGAAATTTAATCTATTTGAGGATTATATTTTTAATCCAAAATAAATCTAAAATAATCCATAATAAATCTAAAATAATCAAATTAAAAGATGATGAAACTAATACTTATAAAGTAGACCTAATTTGGTAGTGTTGTCAATACTGCTTTTGGCATCACTATGAATATTTGCAGAAGGAAGACATATTTTTTAAGGTTCCAAAATTTTTAAAGCATATTACTTTTGTAGCCACCAAATTTAATATTTTACAAGTAAATTAGAGTTTGATATATAAAACTTTACCTTATTCAAAGATGCACATATCTAATTAGAAGTATGACTTGTATTTGTTTTTGTTTGAGTTGTTAGCAATACTCAATACCTTTTAGCTTCTTCTAGTGAATTTTATTCTAATTTTTTGATTTAGACATCTTTACAATACTACTCTTTAATTCTTTTTTCCAAACAATAGTAGAGCAAAGACTTTTTATGACTAAGCAAAAGAGAAAAGAAGAAAGGATCTATTGTTTTTTGAAGAAGTTAAAAAAAACATGCTAGATATATGCTTAATGGACTAAGAGTGTTGATTTTAGCACTTAAAAATGAGAGTTGAAAAAACTTCTAAATAACATAAATTTTATGGACGTTTCTAAATTATAGTTTATAAGATTTTAATTGAATTTTTAACTATATTGTTTTGAATCTTATAGTATGATTATGAATACACTCAAGAGGTTAATTCATTGCCTGAGATATCTCAAAGCCTTTTTAGATTTTTTTTGAATACACATAAAGATTAAAAAAATAATGTGTAAAAAATCCTATGTCAAATTACTAGAAAGATGATGAGTTTGTGATCTTGTTGTCTTAATTGCTATATACAACTTGATTGGTAGAATAGCTAACTAATTTTTGAACAAGTAAAAATTGCTATAATTTGGGTCTTGAAAATATAAGAAAATATCTAATTTAGAATTGTTTTTGGAAAAAAAATTAAAAAAAATATAAATAAAATAAATTTGTAGTATTAGAATTTAGACAAAACCTCCAAAAGAGATATGTTTCAAATTAATTGTAGTATATGTTGGAAAGCTACAACTTGACCTTGATATGTTTACAACACGTTCTAAGAGAATCTTAGGTTATTATAAATATATTTAATTATTTTTTATCTAATCACTTATAAGATCACTACTTAATTATTTAATGAATAAACCTTGGAACATTCTTAAGTATTTAATCACTTTTTGTGGTACATTGAGAATAATTTTTATTATTTATATTTTATAATTGTTTAATAAATAATATTTCTAAAAGATAAAAGATCTATCTATGACTTCTACATGTCAAAAATCTTCAACTTTCAAAAGGATTTAAGATACATATTATGTCTATAAATTGAAGTCCTCTCGCATCCAAATTCTCATAGTTTTTTCATGTATTGTGGTTTTGATTTTTAAGAACGTTAGTTGAGACATATATTTTATAAACATGGCCAATTTAAATAGATAAAAAGCTAAATTGTAGTTATTTTTATGCAAGATGTTAAATTGAAAATTATGAATTATTGACTATAGTAAAAAATTTAAAGAATAACACTTAGTGTTAAACATTTGATATTTTTTTAAAATATATTAATTTTCAAAGATATAAATTTTAAAGAAAGAAAATCCAATAAATTCTTGTATTACTTAAAAAGAATAAAAAATCATTCAAAGATCATAGTATATTGAATTGGAATGACTATTGTCAACGACAAAAAGATTAAAAAGTCTTGAAATAAGATTAGGGAGTACAAAGGCATTGTCAAGAGTAAAAAAGACTTCATTCTTACTTCTATATATATTTTTTAACTAGGAGCTATGTAGCAATATTCTATATAAGTTTTAACACATGTTGACTTTGCTAGTTATATGTCTTATCTTTGAAGATAAGTTTTTTAAATCTATGCCACATAATTAGCTCATTCTAGAAGCTACCAATATGTGTGACATGTGGTTAACTTGTTGATCAAGTTTCTAACCTACTATTGAACTACAAAATAGTATCTATAATGCTTTTAAGAAGCTTTTTTAAAATATATTATAAAATTAATCTACTTTTACTTACTTCTATATAATCATAAAGAATATTATTAGAATAAATATGTATGTTCATAATATTAAGCTCCCTTTTAAGAATAAGTTCTATAAAAAGTAATCATCATATTTTGAAGAAATCCAAGATGTAGCAATTTATGTTTGGTACATAATTTGATATTTATTTTCTTTAAAGATGGTTGTCAGATATTTTCAACCATTAATAGTATCTCATACCAAAGAAAAAAGACCACCCTATTATTTGATTGCTCTTGAAGCTTTCATAACTTCCTTCAAATAAAACATTTGAAACACCATCAGGAGTTGTTCTTACCTACAATAAAATCACCAAATATTGAAAATTTCTTCTAAGGTTGTGCTATTAAACATAATGTATCTTGTCAACTATTTGAAGAAAGACATGTAATTCTTAAGGATCTTCATATTGATTGTCTGGTCTTAAAAGTTATGACAATTGTAATTTTTTATTTGATAATTTAATAAATAATAGTTTTTAAATTAAATTTATAGATTGTTAATTTTTCATCACTTAAGCATCACAAATATACAAAGCTATAAACAAAAATAGAAGATAGAATGTTATTTTTTTGTATCTTATTTCTTTCTCAAGGACAAGAAGTTGATTAAAATAAATAAATAAATAAGACTTTTTTCAAAGAAAGATGATAAAATAGAAATAATTAAATATGTATATTAAAAAAGAAACTAAAATAGCTATTGCCAAAAGACAAGAAAATTAGAGACCCTTGAAACTAGACTAGAAGTAAGAAAGGAATTGATAAGAGTGAAGAAGGCTTCATTCTTGCCTCTATATATACTATCTATCTACGAGCTATGTGGCAACGTTCTATAGGACCTCCAAAAACGTGTTGACTTTATACAATCTGTAACTTAACTTGTAAGGCAAGTTTTTTATGTCGACGCCACATAGTTAGCTTGTTCCACAAGCTATCAACATGTATGGCATGTGGTTAACTTGTTGACCAAGTTTCTAACCTACCAATCAAGTATAAACACATGTACAGTCAAAGCAACGTCTATGAAGCTTTTAGGAAGTTTTTTTAGAAGATATTATGAAATTAATTTATTTTTATCTACTTCTACTTATTCATATCACCTAAGTAAGAATTATAGTAAATATATGTCTGTGATATTATTCCCCCTTCTAAGAATGAGTTCTACAAGGAGTGGTGATGACATGTCAAAGAAGTCTAAGATGCGGCAAATTATATTTGTCACATATTCTGATCTTTATTTTTTTCGAAGATGATTGATAGGACCTCTCCACCATTGATAATATTCCATACCAAGGTGGAAAGACAACGTAGTTATTTCATCATTGTTGAGGCCTTCATAACTTCCTTCAAATAAAATATTTGGAATACCATAAGGAGTTGTTCCTACCTCTAATAAAATTACCAAACATTGGAAGTCCCTTCCAAGGTTGTGATATCAAACGCATTATATCTTGCCACCTATTCAAAGAAGAACATGTCATTCTTGAGGATCTTCATCTCGATTGTGTCGTCTTGAAGATTGTGAAAATCATAATATCTTATCTAATAGGTCAACAAATGAAGGCTCTTGAGTCGAATCCGCTAGTTGTTGGTTTTCCATCTCCTTAGTATCACAACTACAAAAAAACCACAAACAAAGATAAAAGGTAGAATACAATCTTTGTTGGATCTTGTTTCTTTTCTAGCAAAGACTTACTATTCTTCATCTTGGTTTTGATAGATGTTGTCCATGGAAAACCTCTACCCCCTTTGCTGCATTTGTAAGATTCTTTGTTGGTTTCCATATGCGTTCACTAATGTCATATCTGCACCAATGGACAAGATATTTTTACTTATTTTGGTATCACCTTAAGTCTAACACTTCTTTCACTTCAAATTCTTCATAATTGTCCACTTCTATAGGATGAGGTGGGATTTTAAATGGTTCAAGAAGAGACTCAAGGAACATGGGATGGATCTTCATTCACTCAAGTAGATGTAATCAATAAGCAAATGAATTGATTTATCCACAAATAGGAAAAGGTCCAAACATGTAGTAGACCAACTTATCACAATGACGAGTAGTCTTAATATTACAACAAAGTAACCATACCTTGTCACCTACATCGAATTGTGGCTGTTCTTTTTGATAGGCATCCACATTGATCTTTTGTTGTTCTTAAGCTTTCATTAATTGCGCCTTCATTGTTGCATGTAGCTCTGATAAATGATTTGCCAAATCTTGTGGTGTAAAATTATCAACTTTTGAAAAGTCAAAAGTATCGAGTTGTGGATGATAATCATAATTAGCAAAAAAAGGTGTTTGTTGC